TATATTTAATGTATATACTTTTTATTCTATTAAATAAACAGTATGTTAATGGAAGGCTGGAAGGCATTGGATGCGAGCAGCGCAGAACCGATCGTCGTGGAGATGTTCATAATGATGATGATGATGATGATGTTAATAATGGAAGATGGAAGATCGCGGAAAGTGGCAAGAGCTCCACCGACAAGAGCGTAGCTCTTAAATTATGAATGAATGAATGAATCTTAATAATATTATAATCGCGAAAGTTTATAAGTATGGATGTTTCTTACTCTTTCACTCAAAAACTACTAAACGGATTTTGATGAAACCTTACAGTAATATAGCTTATGCATCAGAATAACATATAGGTTACATTTTATATTGAATTTTAACGTTCACCCCCGGGGGCACAGTTAGTAGTAAAGAAATTGCATTTTATTATTACATATAAGATTTTTTATCATCTGTATAGTTACATTTGAATTTTTTCGTTTTACTACTCATTCAGAATACAAAACCCACGAAAATTAAACACAAAAATTGCTGTTGCTCTTTTTAAGAAAAATAGATTACTATGAATAAAGACTTTTTCTATGTATACATATAATAAAATAACAAGCCGATCTCAGTATTTATATTCCTTGTATGTCTGTCTGTCTGTCTTTATATTTGTACTGTAGCGAAATACCCACTACATTGAACAGAATAGTGTATTTATCGGGACTGCCTTAAAGTTATATACCATACATCATTTCATTACATAGTATGAAACAAAGTCGCTGTAGCTGTCTGTCTGTCCCTATGTATGCTTAAATCTTTAAAACTACACAACGGATTTTGAAGCGGTTATTTTTAATAGATAGAGTGATTCTAGAGGAATGTTTATATAAATAATACATGTACACCCGGGTGAAGCCCAGTAGCTAGTAACTTTATATATATGTATATTCTATAATTATTTTTGTTGTATACTTTATATCAAATCAAATTATTTGATAAATTTTCTTTCTTTCTTACATACCACTTAATATAAAATATCAAATTCCGTACAAAGCAAGGGCACGTCACTAGTTCTACAATAAAACGACATCAGCGTACACAGACAAACAGAAAATAATCCTACTCACGCTAACGAGCCGGTATTAAGGTAACAACGTAATTTGATTAATATTTTGAAAGCGTTTATAAATCTCGCCGTACACTCGTGTAGAAAATGGTTACAAGGGCAGAAAAACACCGAAAAAGAGAAGGATGGACTGTGTGAAAGATTATATGGTAAGAAAGGGGCTAAATAACGTGATGACTGCGAACAGGGATGAATGGAAGAGAAAAATATTACGCCGACCCCAAATGAATGGGGCAAGGAAGAAACAAGTGATGATGATGACACTGGTGTAGAAAAGAGTCACAGCTTCCTTTTTTAAGATAGTTTGAATATTATTTTATTAGAAATAGAAATAGAAATAATCTTTATTCAAATAAATTCAATATTGAATAGTCATATTTTTTATTCTACCACTCATTAGGAACGCAGACTCATCACAAGAAGATCGAGCAGGAAACTTGTGTGTTGCTCTTTTGAATAGATGTAAAATAATTACACAATAACAAGTAAGAGGCTTGCAATAATCAATATAGAAACTGCTAATAATACAATCAGATAATATTGTCAGCGCTATGAATTTTATGTCTTAAGTGTTGAGATGAATATTAATGGATAAAAATGAAAAAAAAATCCACAATAAAACAATTTCCACTGGTTTTCAGTTCAGAATAATAGTCTGAATTCACAGTTTCTATCACACCCGATATTGAAGAAGACTATCAGAGTAAAAGTATCAGTCAAAGTAAAGTAAAAATGCTATTTTTATGCTATTTCAATAACTCTGTCCACAATTGTACATACACTGTTTTACAGCCGGCTATATTTAACAGGTAAATATAAGTCATATCTCTAACGCTTACACCCGGTACTGAAGAAGACTTTTTCAAACTTTAAAAGTCAAAGTAAAGTAAAAATGCTATTTTTATGCTATTTCAATAACTCTGTCCACAATTGTACATACACTGTTTTACAGCCGGCTATATTTAACAGGTAAATATAAGTCGAACCTCTAACACTTAAACCTATTACACTAGCTTCTTTATTGTCCACCATAAAAACTAATTGATGTATTACAATACCCGAATTAGTGTGTCACTTTTACGGTTTGTCTGTCCGTCTGTTGAGCCGTCAATTTACAGTATTACATAACTTCACGATTACCAATTTTATTTATGTCGCTGTTAAGTTGTTTTATTGATTTTGTTCTTGTTCGGTGACAGCAGTTTGAAGCTCAGATGACTTTATAATAATGTTAGTTATGTCCCGTGGCGCTGCTCGTGTTAGCCCATCTTTATTATTTTTTAGATTTACTCTATAAATCTCTATAGTAAGTATAACTAAGAAGCTATTAATATAACGGATCACGGATTGTATGGGTGTCTAAATGATGAAAACACGTAGATTATACTATCTACGTGTTATAATCTACGTGTTTTCATCATTAATATGAATTTACAAACTATTGTGAAAATAATGTAACAATAAGTGAAATGTATCAAATAACATAACATAAAAAGAGTTGTTCCAAAAATATAAATTTAAAACTATCAAAATAGTTTGCGGCATTTTTTTTTTAAAGGATGATAATGGAATGGTGCACCAGCCTGCGCTAACGGTTTTCGCTGGTGGGACACCAGTGGAGGATAATAGGATGAACATGAAGTCATATCAGTTAGCCCAACGTGACAAATTCACCGGGAATGTATCACGATGGTTTTCAGGGGGAACCGCGTGGAGGTCGATCTGACATGGTACATTGCTAGCAATGGGATTATTACTCCACATTACTGACATTCCCCTTTCCCCCAGTTCGCGGCATTGGTGAACCGAAGATCTGGTCAAGATCGCTGGAAGGCATTGGATGCGAGCAGCGCAGGAACGATCGTCGTGGAGATCTTTGGGGGAGGGCTATGTCCAGCAGTGGATGTCTTCTGGGCTGCGATGATGATGATTCGGTCTCCAACAGTGAATGTAGCTAACTATAGGTGAAAGAGTTTATAAACTATGTAAAATACATAATATAGATAAAAAACACCCAGACCGATACACACAGTCATACGCTTATTTGCTACCATCGAACCTGCGACTATCTGTCAACTAAAATAGAATGAATTCCATTCATTAATTCCAAACTAAAACAAAATAATAATAACAAACGTTTCACAAATTATCTCTAAAACGGTACAGTCGTAACTTTCCGCGAGCGGCTTGCTGTTCCCGAAGAAAATGCAAGGTAAACACCGCGCACGCCTTTTGAAGTTCCGCCTAATTCAATTTGCTTACGAACACAATACAATTTAGTAGGTACGTTCTTAATAGTCAAACAAACAAACTTAATTCTGTTAAGGTGACCCGGCCGGCGTCTAACCTAATTAGCCAGCAACGAAATATATTTCTCATTCTGAAAATAATGTTCAAGTCTTCGGGTGGGACGCTTTTTTTAATTTGATGTCTTAATTCATTAAAAAAATTGCAAGTCGACGTTCCATTTAATGAGACTGTTGGAAGACGCGAGCCGCGTCTAATGAGGGTATGAGGTACTAAACCAGTTTACTACCTGCCTGCGACAATAAGATCAAGTATCTCATCGTCGAGGGAAGAAAGGAGGCAGGAAAGAAAGGTCCAGTACCAAGGAAGAAAGTATTCGTTCATACTGTAAATACAGGTATTTGCTATCCCAATAGTGTAGTGTTATAGTACAGTCACCTTTCTTCACTTATGTTCCCCTCAGATCGATCGGGGTTCGAAATTACGACGGCCTGAGCCGAAGTTCGAACCCCTAGCGGTGCCCTCAGACTAAAGTCGTATCCGTCAGGCGGTAGTTGGCCTTCAGCCGCTCCACAAGTCTTTCCGCGGGTTTGGAGTGCCATCTGCACTCTATCTCTATCGTTCGGTGAAGCTGTGGCCAACATAGTCCGAAAAAAAAAGTTTGCTACTTACGTAATATAAAAAAAAGATTGAAGTTACTATTGGTATAGATTACTGTAATAAAAAAAAATATTTATGGTCCAGCCAACGCTTGTTATTGTTAAAAAAGGCTTCTTACAAATTGGAATTCAAAATACAGCATCCACAAATGGTGGATGTATCAGTCAGTCGTACTTGTGCATCAACTGACCGGTCGGCTCCGAGCAGTCAAAGAAGGGTCGGCAACGCGCATATAATATCTCTGGTGTTTCAGGGGTCCATAGGCTACTCTTTACCATCAGATTACTTGTTTATCACTTAATCAGTATAAAAAAAGGCATCGAAGTTACCATTAGTATAGATTTGTTAATTGCAATTAAAAAATTACTATCTAGGGTCCATCCAATGAATAGAATAGAATAACATTTATTACATCACACATCTCAAGACAATAAAAACGATGCCGACAGCTGCATATAAATTATTATATAAGATAAACGTAAATAAAAAACAATTCATTAAATTAGAGATGAAATCATTATATATCAAAATAATAAATAAATAAAAGAACAACATAGTAACAAATAAATAAATAATAATAATAAAGTAAAATGCATTTCCTATCCACGACTGCGGAGCATCGTCACCGCGTCACTGTGTACTGATGTGTGTGTAAGGGGCCCATCTCAGCATTATGCCATGACAAAAGCCACGACGCTGATTTTCAGTGGAACCCCGAATAAGTAATTCTATAGAATAATAGAATAGAATAGATATGTATAGATGTATAGATAGATAGCTGCACATTCTTCTTGTGATGAATCTGCATTCCGAATTAGCGGTAGAATCCACAATATGACTATTCAAAAGTGCTTGTAATGAGTTTATTTGAATACACATTATTTCTGTTTCTATAGATTGTTATTGTTAAAAATGGCTTGTTACAAATTGGAAATCAAATTACAGCATCCACAAATGGCGGCCGTATCAGTCAGTCGTACTTAGTGCATCAACTGACCGGCCGGCTCCGAGCAGTCATTGTTTGCATCAAACAATGGATGTACTGGGAGCCTGGAACGTCGGGAATCTGCCTTTCGGATCGCTTGCCATAGTCCAGTTATATTGAAGTGTAGGTAAATTGACATGGCCGCGAAACCAGCGGTTCAACTCCATTTGAAGATACACTTTGTTCAAAGTTGGGACATCGACTGTTTTAGCCAGCTGTGAAACTGTTTGGTTGTAAACTGTTTCGATTGGAGGGCGTATGGTAGTAAACTTACCGCGTAAGTAGTAATAGTATAGTAGTAATAAGCGTATGATAGTATAGTAGTAAGCGTATGATAGTAAACTTACCGCGTATTTTTTTATGGCTGATAATGGAATGGTGCACCTGCCTGCCCGCCAGGTCAGTTAGCCTGGTTTCCAAGGGGAACCGCACCAGCCTACGATAACGTTTTACGCTAGCAGGGCACCAGTGAAGGATGATAAGACGAACATGAGGTCAGGTTAGTTAGCCCATCATGACAAATCCACCAAGAATTTATTATATATTCACGATAGAATAGAATAGAATAGAATAGAAAATCATTTATTCAAATAAACTTACATTGAAGCACTTTTGAATAGTCATTACATTTTTTTAATCTACCGCTCATTCGGAAAGCTGTCTCATCACAAGAAGAACGAGCAAGAAACTTGCGTGTTGCTCTTTTAAATAATTTTATTATTACTTTACATTTTTAAGTTTAAATGTGTGAATACAAACCACCAATTAGCACTAATTCAATTAAATACTGAAATAAAAGAAATAAGAATATATAACCAACTGGTTAAACAATTAATAAGAGGAAATCAGTCATAGTGATTAGATGATGGTTTGCAGGGGGATCTGCTTGGACGACAACCTCATATGGTACATTACTATCAAAAAGGTTATTGAATTTTGAATTTTGAAAATTTTGAATTTTGTATTTTGAAGGTTATTAACCCACATTACTAACAATCACCATCCATAGCGTATTTAAGTATAACTGTGGTGTAGAGGCAAGGGGATTGGTAGTAACGTGGACTAATTAGCCTATTGCTAGCAAAGTACCATGTCAGGTTAACCTCCACGCGGTTCCCTTCTAGTCTAGTCGGTTTTCTTAACTCGAAGCACTCCGAACTGACGGTAGATTTGATATCATAAGAGTCTGTAATAGAGTTAAATAAACATCTGATAAAAGATAGATTTTGGTTTTTGCCTTTTGCCTGCTCTTGATGATGAGAACAGCTCCTGTAAAGACAGAGTTCATTGACCTAACAATGTCGAAATAAAATTAAAGTAGAATTCAAAAGTTACAGTCAAAAATAATTCAGAGGTGTTTAATTAAAAAGTTATGTTTTTTAATTAAATACATAGTTCTACGAAGATATTTATTGTGTAGGTGTATATTTCAAGGCCCGACCGTTTATAGCGAATATCTTAGCGTATTACTTATTCAGAACGTTGGTACAGAGTGGTATCTATTGGTCCAATTCATCCATTTTCATCCATACGTATATTCCAACGTTATACGGTGTAAAAATAGTATTTTTAACTATCTAGATGTTGATAAAACATACATAGTATAAAACAAAGTCGCTGTCGCTGTCTGTCCCTATGTATGCTTAAATCTTTAAAACTACGCAACGGATTTTAAAGCGGATTTTAATAGATAGAGTGATTCAAGAGGAAGTGTTATATGTATAACCACCCATGCGAAGCCGGGGTGAGTATCTAGTCAAAATCAAAGAAATAGAATTAGAAATAATCTTTATTCAAATAAACTGTTTGTATTGAGTTTATTTGAATAAGATTATTTCTAATAGTCAAATATTCTACCACTCACTCGGAACGCAGATTCATTACAAGAACAATGAGCAAGAAATTTTTGCATTTTTCTTTTGAATATATATTTTTTCAAGTAAAATAATTACACAATAACAAGTATGAGGCATGCGATAATCGACATAGAAACCGCTTATCATTCTTATTGCAATCAGATAATGTTGTCAGCTCTGTGAATTCTAAGTTTTTTGTACAAAATATTATTATCGTTATTATCGTGATTTGAAGACTACATGCCCACCGGTGGGCCTCTCAGGCTATTTCGCAACTAAAGTAAATTTTCACGTTGGGATCGAATTATCACCCGTGGGCACTTTAAGGAAATAAATCTAAGGGTTACATAATAGCGACCTCAAATTATTGTACACTAAAAACATATTTAAAATATAATATATGTAGTTAACTATGTGGGATGTAAAGGGAGGGGACGCCCTAAGAAAAGATGGATGGATTGTGTGAAAGATGATATGTATAAAAGAAGAGTATGTTTAGATATGACGACTGATAGAGAGCAGTGGAAGAGAATGACATACTGCGCCGACCCCAAATAATGGGATAGAGGCAAGGCAATGATGAACTATGTGGGAAATAAGATTTTTAATGCGGTTTGAAGACGGTGTCAATAAATTAAAAAAAAGTTCTGTAGCATCGGTCAATAAGTGTACGGATACCGTGAGTGCTGTGTGTAGCTAAATTTTGTCGGACAATCTAATGACGGTAGTTGAACAAATTGCTGTCACCTATCTACATTCACATCGCTGTTACTCCAGTCGGCTCGTAACCACGGGCAGTGCTACATACGCGAAATGTTGCGAGAAGTAAATACCTTTATTTGCCATAAATCATTCGTGTTTAATAATATAGAAAATCATTAAAATTATTACAAAAAAAAATATTCAAATAAACTTACATTGAAGCACTTTTGAATAGTCATAACTTTTTTTAATTTACCGCTCATACGGAAAGCAGTCTCAGGACAAAAAGAACGCGCAAGAAACTTGCGTGTTGCTCTTGCGGTGTCCAGTTTAACACTATAAATAAGGTGTATTAAAGAAGAAAGTTTAAAAACGACTATTGCAAAATGATTTTCTATTGCGTTCAACAAAACTGATATATCAAATTCCCCATAGAGATACAGTTAAATCGTACAAATGATATCCAACTAACGTATTATTTACGTCAGACCGCATCAAATTGAACGCTCTGATTGATTAGGTGGCTGCGAGATTGATCACTCGTGTTTGATTCGATGATGAGCTACATAACAAATGAACGATCCGACTATATCGCTTCATTTTATCGTATGATAACATGTCTATAAAATTATACGACGAAATCGTTGGGCACGGTGGCCTAGCGGTTAAGCGCACCGCTTTACTTCCGATGGTCGCGGGTTTGATTCCTCGCACGGTGCAAACATTTGTATTCTTGAGCATGATTGTTTGTATCGGTCTAGGTGTTTTCTATTTAGTATCTATTTAGAAAAATAAAAAAAGTATCTAAGTATTTATATCAGTTGTATAGTTCCCATAACACAAGCTCTGCTTACCGTGAGACTAGATGGCGCTGTGTTAATTGACATGAGATTAATAAAAATTCCGTTCTTATTATTACTAGCAGAGATGTTTTATATGTATACTAGCTACTCGCCCCGGCTTCGCACGGATATACATTTATAATATATATAAACCTTCCTCTTGAATCACTCCATCAAAATCCGTGGCGTAGTTTTAAAGGTTTAAGCATACATAGGGACGGACAGACAGCGGCAGCGACTTTGTTTTATACTATATAATGATTATGTATGTATTTACAATTTGTAAATGTATCTATGTATTTATATCAGTTGTCTAGTATCCATAATACAAGCTCCGTTTAACTTGCGACTAGATGGCGCTGTATGTATTGTGTTGAGTTAAAAAAAATTACCGCTTTTATTATTGTTAGCACCAAAATTTCCAACTTTTATTACAACCGTATTAAGGATGTCTACAAACTCGGCTTTTTTTAAATACCACTATACAAAGAAGCAATACGGCCCATCTGAATGGTATTTCCGAATAATTTGAAACCGAAAAGAGCTTATTCCTTTTTAAAAGGCCGACAACGTACTTGCCCCCTATATGCTCGTTTGTCCCTGAGACACGGGTGTTACGCGTTGTCGACCCTTAATATTCTCTTCTTAAAAAACACCATGCCTCAATTGAATCTATATACTGAATTTACTGTACTGTAAGAAGCTTTGACGTGGTCTGGTGTTTTGAATAGTCATGCTCACTAAAATGTCCAGACTTGTGGCGGCGTGGTGGGCCGGGTCATTGGGCTCCCTAAAATATGGTCGAGCGCAGTGATGGCTGGATCATCCTTCACACTCGTGAACGGGTGCTGCTTGTAGGGACTGGTCTGCTCTAATCACTATGACTAATTTCCTCTTATTAATTGTTTAACCAGTTGGTTATATATTCAATATTTTTTCTATTTGAGTATTTAATTGAATTAGTGCTAATTGGTGGTTTGTATTCACACACTTAAACTTAAAAATGTAAAGTAATAATAAAATTATTTAAAAGAGCAACACGCAAGTTTCTCACTTGTTCTTCTCGAGTTCAGACACTTTCCGAACGAGCGGTAGATTAAAAAATGTAATGACTATTCAAAATTGCATCAATGTAAGTTTATTTGAATAAATGATTTTCTATTCTATTCTATTCTACTGTAAAATTTCATCAAAATCCATTGAGCAGTCCCCATGCTGGGTGGAAGGGGATTGTTAGTAATGTGGACTGACGATCCCATTCCTAGCAATATACCATATCAGGTCGACCTCCACGCGGTTCCCCCTGGAAACCATCGTGATAAATTTCCGGTGAATTTGTCACGTTGGGCTAATTGATCTGACTTTATGTTCGTCTTATCATCCTCCACTGGTGCCCCGCCAGCGTATGCTGTTAGCGCATGGGAGTAGCGCGTGGGTGCAGCATTCCACTATCATCAATTAAAAAAAAGTCCAAAAGCAGTAGTCCGTTTCGTCACGGCGAGATTAGATAGATTAGATTTGATCTAACAAGCCAATTTTTATATCGAAGTTTTAGTGTGAAACACAAGGGCTAACAACCTCTTTACAGAAGATGGAGTGCCTTCATCTGCATAAGTAATTGTTACTTGCGATAAAATGGCACCGACCCTTAGACTTCGAGGGCCCAATGTTGTAACGTCATGTTTATATTATATAGGACTACCTAAAAAGGTTTAATTTGTGTCTGATTATAGGTTATGCTTATGCGAACTGTATTACCATCTCTACTAATATATAAATGTTAATGTTTGTCTGTTTCAAGAAGCTGCTACTGCTTGCTGCTTGTTGGGACTAGTCTGCTCTAATCACTACATAATCTTAT